CCGAATTCCCCCCCGATGAGCGAGCCATTATGGCGGAGGTGGGGGAAATTCAGGCGAGCAAAGTCACCCCGGAGTTTAAAGGCCGCCTTGTCATAAGCTAAGGCGGCCTCCTCAGCGGTGTCAAAGGTACCAAGCCAAAGCCGGGTCCGGTTCTTGGGCAATCGGATCTCTGCCACCCATTTTCCCCAGTGGCGTTGTCTAACACCGCGGTAAAGCTTAGGGGGTTTGGGTGGCGAGCCTGATTGCTTCATCGAAACCGGCTTTGGACTCAAAAGAGAAGCATGATGGTTATGCTGACGTGATAAAGAATCTTGGAAAGTAGCAGCTGATGACATTATTTGTTGCTGTTGGTGGTTGTTTTGGAGGTAGATTTGAGCTTGGATCTGGTGAACCTGGGCTTGTGTTAATTGATCCAGCCCAATTGAGCCCGGTTGCTCCATTTCGAAGCCAGAAAACCCTTGTGAAAAAGTAGGATTTATGGTCGTAGAAGTAGAGCAACCATCATAGATCATATTGGGCTGAGATATTAAAGAAAATGAATCATAGGGATATGAAGTTGAAGTAGAAGTAGTGGTAGTAATAGGAGAAGATTGAGAATTTGTAGAGGGAAAAGAGAAAGAAGAAGGAGGTGAAATAGGAGGATAATTGATAGGGGAAGCACTTTTGATAAAAGGTGCAAGTGCTTCCATCAGCTCACCACCACCCTGCAAAGAGTTTGATGAGTTAAGATCTAAAAGTGTACTAGTCCAAAAATCCATTGTAGCTGCCATGCCTAAATCTTCACACAAATTTAATTAAAAGACCAACCTGTTTCTTATCAAATAAAAGAACAGGGTTGATTGCAAAGAAGAAAAAAAAGAACTAATGAAAATATAATCAAATAAGTGGATTCAAAGAGGGTCTTCAAATAACAACCCCTTTTTTCTGGTGGTTAAGAAAAAAATCAACCTTAGAAGGGACAACTAATAAGCCCTCTAAGCTGATTTTTGGTGAAAATAGATATAAAAGAAAGAATGAATGAACTCTACAAATTTACTGAAAATCTTGAATCTCGTTTCTGAAAACACCTAGCTTTTAAGAAAAAATCCTTTAAGTTTGCATTTTCTCCAATTTGTTACAAATTCAAAAACCTCAAAAACACAAACCCATAAAACCTTCTTGAAAAGACAGATTGTTTACAGAAAGGGATTAAAGAAACGGGATGATACAGAAGGGGGAAGAAAACAAAAAACATAGATTACCCTAATGAAAAACTGAAGTTTTTTTGAAGAATTTAATTTGGTGTGTGTAGTGTGTGCAGGTGTGAGAAATAGATGTGTATATCTCTCTCTCTCAGCCTCACTCTTTTCTTTCTTTTTTTTTTTGGTGGCCTTTATCTTCTCATATGTCTCCTTTTATAGCCTTTTCGCCCATTGTTTTTACACCTTTAACCATCCTTCTGCGTTTAATTCTTTTCTATCTACCGGTCTTTGCTTAGCTAAGAATTCTTCAGACTAGGATTTGGAACCAATAAGAAGATGACATTTGGATAGTCTACTGACACCTGTCATTTCCTAGCGTACACCTGTCAGTTTTCGTTCAACTCTCTCTATCGCGAGGATTCTATTGACCAAGATAAGTTCACACTAGCTGCTGCATGGCCGTTAATTTTGTTTGTCTTTTCTTATTCTTTTGTTTCATTGTATTTCCATGCCAAAATTTATGGCTTTTCTTTATTTAATTTTCAGAAAGTACTATTTTTGTTTTAAAATAACTTAAATTGCAATTAATTACGTCTCAATTTTAAATTATACGAATAGTACGTATGTGCATCATTACCTTCATTTCACTTTTCCGGTTATATTCTTTTAAGTTTCACACTTATTTTACCGATAACAAATTTTATCCCCGTCCATTGGTACTACTTAAATAAAACCGTAGGGGTCGTTTGGTTCAATTATGGAATAAACAAATATATTTTAATATCTCATAAGATTAGTTATCTCACATTGTATGTGAGATAATTAATCCTCATCATTTGCTATAAAATTTATTTCGCCGTTAGCTAATTTTTATAACCAAACATAAAATTAAATACAATCTCATATTCTAGGGATAAGTATCATTATTTGAGTAACCAAATGACCCCTTGGTCCACTATGTTCTACTATATTTTGTGTTATCATCCCAGGTATATGTGTAACTTGCACACTCTGTCGCAATCATTTTTCAAGAAGGAAATTGAAAATTAAAATAAACCAGTAAGAATTATCCAAAGGCCAGCGAAGGATAAATTTTGAACGAAATTTGCCAAAGACAATAATATAAGGCTGTATCAATGAGGTTGGAATTATGGGTGTTTAACGGGCGGGCTGGGACGTGCTGGACACAAAAAAAATTAGCCCGTCCGTTTAACGTTGCGGGCTGTTAGCGGGCTGTATTTTTTCGAATTTTTTTTTTGTCCGTCCGGGTTCGGGCTTAGCGGGTTGTTAGCGGTTTATTAGCGGGCCGTGGATTTTATTTTTTTTAAATTAAATTTTGTTTTTCTTATTCAATATTATTGATACTTAAGTGTTTGCAAACTTTTAAGGTTTAGAGTTAAACTTTGAAGTTTAAAATTTGAAATTTGAAATTTGAATTTTATAATGTTAAAATTAAAATTTGAAAGTAAGTGGTTATAAAAAATTATTTAATAAGACCTATATGTAAGGATAAAGCTCCGAAGACTTTCATTTGATAGTTTTATTAAATAATATATAATACTTCAAATTAAGTTGCAAGTTCTTTTTTGATTTTGTTATTTTTGAACTTGCAAATTAAAAATTTACAACATTATAAAAAACAAATAGTACATCACATGCTTTGCATCATTTTTGTAAGTTCATCCATGTCAAAATGAGGTTCTTTGTTTCCAGCATTGGTTGAATCAGAACCATAAATCATTATATCTCCAATTTCTTAGTCCTTCGCTTCATCTACCTCGTCACGCCCTTGATTTCGTCGTTCTGATCTTATCCAATCTCTGAAGCACACTAGAATTTCCAAAGTATTGCTACCCAATGAATGACGGGTATCTCCTAGTTGCTGTCTTGCTTGGCTAAATACGCTCTCTGATGCGACTGTTGAAATCGGCACATTTAGCACGTCTCGATCCATGGCCGAAAGAACAGGAAATTGATTTGAGTTGCTCCTCCACCAGCCCAGTGGTAGAAATTCCTTTGTGCGGGGCTCTGGTGACTTTTGCAAGTAGAATTGAACTTCACCAATATTCCTGTTACTGGTTTGTTGATGCTCCCCTATTGTAGACCAAATCAAATAATCTTCAACACCATCATTATCATCCAAAGCACTGGTCCTAGATGTTGAAACTGAACTTGAAGGAATATTTGCATCTACAGCAGAAGAAGCATCAACAATGTTAGCATAATAATTATATAATGATTCTAAATATTTGTGTAGATCAGAAATACAAGTGTCAATATCAGGAGTTTCAGTTGGTCCAATATCCATATAAGAATATAAAGTAGTGATTAATTGGCGACAAGTGGCCATTTTGATAGAAGGGTTTAAAATAGCACCAATTAGATAAATAGGGGGAATTAGGTA